CTTCATTTCTGGTAGGCTTTAGGGCTCCATCAGAGTCAGGCTAAGATTCCAAGTTTCCTAATCGTGTACCCACACGATTTCAATGTAAAACCTTGAACACTTGAAAGACATTGTACAATCGAGTGAGAAGAGTCCTTGCAATGTGTGAAATAACCTACTTCTGGTGGCACGGGAAAGATATGGCTCACCGATGGAAGTGTTAAACCTTAAAAAGGGTTGGGCCTCCTGAGCATAGAAGAGCTAAGGATGGCAACTCTGGAGCAAAGCTTCAGTTGACCTGATGTCTCAGGTCAGCTCTGAGATGATACCAGCTTACCGAGAGGCAAGGGGGGAAAGAGCATTTTTAGAGCTTCATCTGGAACACTGGACTGTTAAGGGCAGCCTCTGCTGAAGACGACCATTCTTCAGCCTATTCTCCTGCTGTGTGCCTCTGGCTGTCTGCATCTGCTCTTGGCAATGGTGCTGGCAGCAGCGAGCATCTGAGGTGGCAAATGGAGTAGCAGAAACAGCAGCAAAGGGAAGCAGAGCAGCTCCCCCCCGCCCCTTTCCCCAGCTTCCTTCTCTCTTCAAAGCTAGATTTCACCCAGGCCTTAATTATTTAAAAGCCATTATAATACTGCTGTTTGTGGGTGTTTTATCAATGTCTGCGTTGCAAACCATACTGCACGACATGGTCCCTAGTAAATGCCAAAAAAAAAAAAAAGGCTGTGTGAAAAGCAGCTGGGGCTGCAGCCAACAAGGAATAGAATAGAATAGAATAGAATAGAATAGAATAGAATAGAATAGAATAGAATAGAATAGAATAGAATAGAATAGAATAGAATAGAATAGAATAGATTAGATTAGATTAGATTGTGATTGGACACACAAGGAATTTGTCTTGGTACATATGCTCTCAGTGTATATAAAAAGAAAAGATACATTCATCAAGAATCATAAGGTACAACACTTAATAATAGTCATAGGGAACAAATAAGCAATCAAATCATATTAAGAAACAGTCTATATAAATCTTAAGGATACCAGCAACAAGGTTACAGTCATACAGTCATAAGTGGGAGGAGATGGGTGATAGGAACGATGAGAAGATTAATAGTAGTGCAGACTTAGTAAATAGTTTGACAGTGTTGAAGGAATTATTTGTTTAGCAGAGTGATGGCATTCGGGAAAAAACCGTTCTTGTGTCTAGTTGTTCTGGTGTGCAGTGCTCTATAGAGTCGTTTTGAGGGTAGGAGTTGAAATTGTCCAAGGTGCAAGGGAAGGGAATGAAAGTGCAAAGCTGACCAGAGAATGGCCATTTGTTTGCTGTCAAGGGCTCCAGTATGTTGGGGATGGAAGAGATTGCAAGGAAATGAGTCTTGGAATGACCCTCCCTGGCAACAGCTTGATTTCTACCCTGCAAATTGGTGGCATTCCCACCAATTGGAGAAGGCTAAGAAATGGCATTTCACATGATCCTGGCAAAAAAATCCTTGTTTAGTGACTGCCTCATTTAGTGACCACTCAATTAGGATGGTGATGAAAAAGTAGCTTTGCAACCAATCCTCACTTTTACAACTTTTGCAGCTCTGTAAAGCAAAGGACAACTGAAGTAAGATCCTAAAATCTTGGTGCTTCACTTAGCAACTGCTTCGCTTAATGATTGAGTTGCCTCTAAATGAGGATTACTTATAATTGGAAAAATATAAACAAAATTGTTTTTCATAGACTATCATTCTAAATATGAATTCTTGCTAAAGGTAAAGAGAGGGAAGAGAATGAAAGGAATTAGAAGCATTGTTGTAATGTCTCTTTTTCTATGGAAATAAAATTGCCTTCTCTGTGAGTTATATGAATATGAACTGTGCATCCTGAAAAGGGATACTGGATAAAAGAGATATTTTACTATCTTCAAAAAGCATGCCACCCACCATAACCCATCAAACATTTGTCTAGGTCCTGGTATTTTTAATGTGTACACAGGGGTGAAATGCTCCCGATTCGGACCGGATCATCTGATCCAGTAGCGATGGTGGGTGGTGGTTCGGAGAACCAGTAGCAAAAATCCCTGCCACCACCACCCCCATGCCCAGCTGAGCCGTGCGATCATCAGAGGCTTTTTTTTATTATTTTTAAAAGCATTTTTTCTACAACCTCTATGGCCAAACAATGCTTTTAAAAGTAAAAAAAAGCCTCTGATGATCACACGGCTCAGCTGGGATCGTCAGACGCTTTTAAAAGCATTTTTTCTACAATCTCTTCGGCTGAAGAAGTTGTAGTAAAAATGCTTTTAAAAGCCTCTGACGATCCTAGCTGAGTTGCCTGATCATCAGAGGCTTTTAAAAGCATTTTTTTTACAACTTCTTCAGCTGAAGAGGTTGTAGAAAAAATGTTTTCAAAAGAAAAAAAGCCTCTGATGATCAGCCAACTCAGCTGGGATCGTCAGAGGCTTTTAAAAGAAAAAAAAGCTCTGACAATCAGGCAAATCAGCTGGGATCATCGGCCGAAGAGGTTATAGAAAAAATGGTTTTAAAAGTGAAAAAAAAAAAAAGTTGATCATGCCCACCCAGTCAGATTACCCCCCACACCAAGCCACACCCACAGAACCGGTAATAACAAATTTTACATTTCTGTACAGCATGAGTGTCAAACTCAATTTCACTGAAGGCCGCATCAGGGTTGTGTTTGACCTGGGGGGTGTGGTGTGGCCAGGGGCATGGCTACGATGGGCATGGCAAGCTTGACATCACTCATCAAGGCTCCATTTTTGGGTGTGATGGCCTCCTGCAGCCCTCTGCCAGTGAAAATGGAGCTCAGGGAGGCCGTGTGTGCCCCACTGGCAAAGGTTTGCAGAAGGCTGTTGTGGCTGAAAACAGAGCCCGGACGGATCGCACGTGGCCTCCCCAAGCTCCATTTTCATTGGCAGAATACTGCAGGAGGCCGTCGCAGCTGAAAACGGAGCCCGGATGGTCCATGCATGGCCCTCCTGAGCTTCGTTTTTGCTGGCTGGCACAGGCACTGCGGGCTGGTCCTTCACTGTTTCCAGGGTGGGCCTGTGGGCCAGATCTAAGCACCTCGTGGGCCGCATCTGGCCCCTGGGCCTTGAGTTTGACACCCCTGGTGTATAGTATTACACATTAAATGAATACAAATTATGGTAAAGTCCCATTTTGGCATATAAAATAAAAACTTTAAGTGACAATGATAATATATTGTGTCAGTGAAGTTACTTGCAATTTTAATTGTAAGTGGCTTTCCCCCCAGGTGGTAGTAAGTCAGCATGAATTGAAAAAGGCTTGCCTAAGCTAGATTGATTGCTCTCCCCTCATGACGCCCTGTTGCCCATCACTTCACAGAAGGAGGTTGCAGCAGTCAGAAGACCTTCAGAATTACCTGGGCTAATTCTTAAACCCCCTCTCAAGGAAGATGAAGCTGGTTCCCTCAGTGGTCAGTAAATGCTCTTTTACTTCATCGGACTTTCCTCGGGCATGGTTAGATCATTTTTGTCATTTGTAGCTCTCAGATTTGAGTTTATTATGCCCACACTGCTGTATTTATTTTAATGGATGTTTTTCTTTAATGTGTGCTAGGATGTCTGCCAAGCGGAAGGTGAGATTCCTAGACTTATGAAATAAAATAAATATCTGGCTTCGGTGCTTTCCTAGATGTGAGGCATCATAAAATGTTTCGCTTTCTAGTAACTTTTCCTCTTCTTATGGGCAGAAAAAGAAGAGCAGCCTGCTTAGAATGAGAATTCAACTACAAGAAGCAAAGGAAGTAAAAGAAGAGCCTTTTCCAGCATTATTTCACATGATCCTGGCAAGAAAGTTTAATAGTGCATCTGGCCCAGTATTACCTATCCTAAAAGTACCTGGCCAAATCCCTAAGGTTAATGCAAAGCTTTTGGATGAAAACCTCATATCCTTAAATCCAAATTTAAGGATACCCAGGCTTCATTAAGCTATTTTGGGATTCTACCACCTTTCCCCTGTCAAAGCATTTTCCCTAAAAGTTTTTCATTTTTCTACAAAGCTTTAGATTCTTCCAAGACTGGGATTACAATATTGCCTTCCATGAAGGGATGGTACTGATTTGTCTTCATAAGGATCCATACTCTGGGAATCATATTTTCTATTTATCTTTACAATGTAGTATTATCTGGCCATTGGAATCTCAGCAACCCATAATTCTAAACCTCTAAACCTCCAAAACAATGTGCTGCTTCAGCACTGTAATTAAATTTGATATATTCACACACACACACACACACACACACACACACACACACACACACACCCCTTCAGCCTCAGGCTCTGAAACATTAGTATTTGAAAGAGCATGATTTTGCTTGTGTATATATGTGTGTATACACACAGAGAGAAAGCACATAGGTATATTCCAATACAGTTTTCTTTTATCATCATTCGCCTTCCATCAACTGCTACTGATTCTGCATTACTGGTTGTAAAAGCCACTGTCTTTCATCCTTTTTCAGTGGGAAGATTTTTAGATTTTTCATTCTTTTTGATGAAGCAAATACAAGCTGTAAGTCTAAGTTACGTATGAAAGCTAATATACGTGTCCCAGGATAATGTTGCAGGATCCAATCTGGGTCGGTCACTGGGAACAGAAGTTTTGCTTTCCGAGATTTTGGATTCATTCTGGAGGCCATCTTCAAGGAACTTCTCTCTGGCTAGAGAGAAGTTCCTTGAAGATGGGCTCCAGCACAAGTCCAAAAGCTCAGAAGACTAAACCTCTGGTCCCAGTGACCAATCCAAATTGGATCCTTTAAGTTATAGAGGATAGATGCTTTCATACACACTATTTGAAATTAAACTTTCAACTGACCTTATGAGGCATATATCTCCCCAGAGACCTTATTGTTACGTATTAAACTCAACTTTCTTTGACTTTTCCAGAGGGATTTATATTACAAATTCGACATCCAGGCACATATTTTTTGACTTACCAAAACATGTGTTAATGCAACTTTAAATATCACTGAAATACATGTGTTTAGATTCCAAAACTTTATTGAATTTTGTATAAAATACAAAAAAACTGAAGGAAAAAAAATTTAAAATAAAGAGGCAAGAGGGTAAGAAAAATAATTAGGAAACAAAAAGGGAAAAAAGTTACAGAAAAAATAATGTCCAACTTTTTTCACTACAGATAAAAAGCTACAAACCAATAACCCTTTGAACTGGAATAAATCATAACTAATAGTACTTCTATCATTACAAACAATATCTAACCATCAAAACCCAATGTTATAATTTCATTTCTTTCAGTTTCAATAAAAAAATCCAATAGTAGCTTCCAAATCAAAATGAAGCTAGACAAAGTCTTTTCTTTAATCAAAACAGTCAATTTCACCATCTCTGCCAACTCCATTAAGTTCACCATCCATTCTTCCATTGTGGGTATATGTGAGTCCTTCCATCTCAGCAAATAGAGAAGTCTTGTGTTTGTTGTTATATTAAAGGACAAAGTTCCATGGATCTGTTTTCAAATCTGTTTTTCCATCAAACCTAAAAGAAAAGCCTCTGGCTTCAGCTGTATACTCAGTTTAAGAATTCTCTGAGTTAAAATACACATTGTGATTCCAGTAAATCTCAGCTTTCTGACATTTCTACCAGAGGTGATATAAAGTGCTTTCAGATTGTTTACATTAATATGTTAATGAAATGGTTCCCTAAAAGTTTCTGGCACTTTTAGAAGATAAGTCAGCAGAATATGTTTTTTTTTTAATGTTTCATTCTTGTGAACTTTCAATAAGTGATATACATTAAAGAAAGCAATTCAGAAGGTTCTTAATGTATTGAAATTTGGTTAACTGTAAGTGGTTCTGTTGCAGGAAAAATCCCACAGCTGACAAACTCTTAAGTAAACTCTAAACGTAATAGACTCCCCAGAACTAATCAATTCTTCTGGGCCCATCCTGGATCCACCTGGGAACTCAAGTGTGTTATCCTTCTTAAAGGAAGATCAATGAACTTTAGTACTCTATGGGAAAATACCACTTTCTTAACTGCTTTTAATGAATAATAATTTGACCTGGATTTTATTTTTCTTCTGAAGAAGGGCAGATATTTAAGTGAAATGATTATAGGGAGATGAAGGGCCCTCATTGTTGTGGCCCGCAGGCAGCCAGTGGAGCTGGCAGCAGAGTCAGACAGTGAGAGATTGGGGAGGAACATGGGCCAGTCCTGGGGGCTGGGGAAAGTTCAGACGAGGGCTCTGCATCAGAGGCTGAGAGGGAGATAGACAGCAGTGAGGCAGAGGAATAGCTGGAGCCTATTCTCAGTGTGCGCATCTGCAGAGCTGCCAGAAGACAAGAACAACTCAGAAAGCAGGGTTGACTTGGGAGTAAAGCCACACCTTGGAGATGATTGGCCCCTCCCATAGGAAACAAAAGAGGAGAGAATGGGGAGGGGGCTTTTGCAGGAAACAATTCATTCGTTCGGTAGTTTCAAGAGTGGAAAGTTCTGTTCATGACTCTAAGAGACTCTGTGCCAAGTTTTGCCTTACTCTGTGTTTGGAAACAAGTTACGTGGCAGCTTGCCAAATGAGATAAGGTGTGTTAATAAATATTCCTTTGAAAAACTGTTTGGACAAACCTTGCTGACTGTGAATGAAAGTAATTCACAGTCGTGTAAATAAAAGAGGTTTTGCCATGACCAATTCCTGCTTCCTGCTTTTTAAGAGAGCCTAGGTCAGAACACTGATCTCTAGATGTCTGCAGTCCCACTGGTTCCCATTTCCCTTAGTTCCCAAGGAAGTCCCAAGGAGACTTTCTTTCTGATTGGGAAGTAGATGCTGCCCAGAAAACTTCAGGGTGACTGAGACAGGCTCTGAAGAAAAAAAGCCAATAGAAACAGAACCCATAAGCCACTTCACCATAATAAAGATTTTTTAAAAAGTAATTTAAAGGCAGTTGCTGGCATAATTTGATCTGAAATATTTCCAAAATGAATTTTTAAAAAACCGTTCAAAATCAAGTCCTCTTTTGATTGAGTTTGAATTCTGGAGATTTCACGGAAATATCCATAGGATACTCTTCATATCTTTTTTTAAATCCCATTTTATCCCTGATATTTCCTGGTGGTCTCCCATCTAAGTCTTAACCACCTTCCTTAGTTTTTCAAGACCAACTAATATTGGCTAAGCACTTTGCCTAATTAATATTCATTCTTTGGTTGATGTGGAAGTTGTCTGATATCACCTGAATTTTTCTTCTATTGGTAAGATGAACTGGGGAAAAAAACCATTCTCATAATTAAAACATTTAATTAGTACCTACCACCATTGTCCAAAGGACAGTATCCATAAGCCAAATAAACATAAGAATTTCCAGTGTCTTCAGTCAAAAGTATATCAAGGTTTGTACAAGTTTCAAACTGAAATAAAAAACCTCAAATACTTTGAAGCCCTGCACAAAATGTATATTATTAAAGGATAATTTCTGCCAATATGAGACATTTTCCTGTAGCTTTTAAGGGGCAGTTAATTTCTTCATCATAACATTGTTTTTTCTTGCCAGCTGCAAGAAAGCTACTGAGTTGTCAGAGATCTCTAATAGTTTCTCATTATTATATGAATATAATCATATTCTGATTCATAAAAAGTATTTGAACTTCAGACATTGTTTCTGGTGTCTATCAGCTTGCCTAGTGAAGAGAGAATGCAGAATACCTGGAATGAACTGCATCAAGGAGCTGAAAGAATTCCTGAAGAAAGGCTGCAATTTAAGCCCTGTCATTGGAATTATTGATATTTGCTGAAATCAAACACAGTTCTGGCTATTGATCCAAATTTGATAATTGCAGGCTGCCCAAAACTTATAATGTTAATAAAGGAAAAATAATGGGTGAAATGGGAATCTGTATAAAACCTACAATTTGAAGATGTCTATCCATCCATCCATCCATCCATCCATCCCCAGCTGGAACATGAAATATGGGGGAAATGAAACAAGTTTAATTCTTTTGCAAGCACAAAAATATCATTTTTCTTGAACTATGGGAGTTTTATTCCCTTCCAAAAAATTCCAATTACAGGGCTTTTTCCTTCAATCTTAGGCTCAGTCTAGGGCTTTATGTGGCCCCCAGACCTCCTCTAAAATACATCACTAAATCTTGAACCTTAACTTAATAAAAGATAAAGTTTATTAAACACATGGAAAATAACCTTATTCACACAATTTAATTAACATAAATTAAAAGTGGTCAGAAATGCTCTTCCACTTTTGTTTACACAGTTTGCAACAACTATAGCAAGATCAGGCTTCTTCCTGGAGTAAATATGGAAAGAAGCAATGTTGCAGAATCACATGGACATTTTCCAAAGCACCAGGGAAGAAGCCTCTTGGCAACAAACATGATGTTACTATAATAAATATAAAGTAACATTTGTTTATTTAGGAAATTTATACAGCCACCCAAATCACTCACTGTAATTCCGGGTGACTTACAAAAATAAAAACCCAATATAAAGCTCAATAACCCCCTCCCTACCCCCTACAACAAGGTAGGTAGGTAGGTAGGTAGGTAGGTAGGTAGGTAGGTAGGTAGGTAGGTAGGTGGATGGGTGGATGGATAGACAGGCAGGCAGACAGGCAGGCAGGCAGACACATATAGAGACAGACAGACAGACAGACAGACAGACAGAGTACGTCTGTGTGTGTGAAGTCCTGACTACCAAGAGATCAGAGATCCAATTAGCCCCACAGTTCCACTTGCACCCCGTTTTCTCTATATTTTAATGAAATGTAGGGAAAACCCTTCAGAATCTGATTTGTTTTTGCTGTCCTATCATTTTAATGAATGAACATTCCAGCTTTGACTTTTAAGCCATTGTTATTCTACACCACAAAGTGAATATGTAACTGAAGGTCAGATTCTCCATTTTAACACTTTGTTCAAACAGCAGTGGCCTGTATAATTAGAATTGACAACGAACAGTAGCCTGAACATTCTTAACCGTTCTGTGAATGATTCTTTCTCAGACAAACCAATACTGAAATGAGGGACTGGAATTTTAAAAAATCCCTACTCAAGGCTTCAGTCTGAACATGTAAGGGCTCAAAAATGGTATAGCAGGCCTAAGGCATCTGGTGTTCCCCTACATGTAAACTGTACCCCTTCCATACCTGATTCGCTCATGCTTTATTTATGAGTTTTGTATTAAGATCTACTTTTTTAAAAAAATCAGGCCCCACATAAACTTCCTCCAGGGAAAAGGAATTGTCAACCATATTTGCCCTGCCCATCCTATACTCAACATATGTACCCAAACCCATTAGGGAATCACTGATTTCCAAAGTAATTGGGATACAGTTCCATGGGCAAATATATTGGAACTGCATCTTATTACTATGTATGAGCCAATCCTATCCAACATCTTTTGGCTTCTCCTCATCCACAAATTGCATTCAGTAAGCAAAAACACAAAAGAGCCCCCAAGATTGGAGAGATCCTGTTATTCAATCAAAAGAAACTTGTCTTTATAAATGTTCTCCATATAACCCTTGTGTTGAGATATGGTACAATTTATTTGATTCAGTTAATTAATGGATTGGCTGGTTAAAAGCAAGCCAGCTAATTATTGGCTGGCATGCTAATAGTAATGTGCTACTTTATAACACCCAGGTGAGCCTTCAGGGTAAGCGATAAAAAGAAGTTATTAAAGTCCCTGAATGAATAAGCAGCTGATCAACCAAACCAGTTAAACCCAAATACTAGAATTTAAATTGTATACAGAATTTAAGATGTATACAGATGTATTTATTACAACTACAATTTTCATGTAATATCTACACAAACAGGGTAGAAACTACCTGTGTCATAAATACGTAAATAATATAGAATTTGCCCTGAATTTGGCAGAATCCTAAATCTAGGCCTTATTCTGACATATTCCGAAGACAGAAGAAATGAAGCAGAATTGTAGAAAACCTGAAGAAGGACTAAAGGGTATTTACTCTTTTACATTTCGAAAGACACAATGACTCACAGTACCTACAAAATTTGATACATTTGTGCCCAGGACTTCTGCAGAAAGAAAACTCCAGAAAGGGACATGGAGGGAGAAAAGAGGATCAGTACTGTGATTGACTACACTAATTTTTAATTGCATAATTTAATTATTGAATTATTTTATTCAATATTTTGGCAGGATGTGTAAAACTGTTCCAAAGTTCAGTATGTGTATGTATGTATATGTGTATGTATGTGTATGTGCATGTGTGTGTGTGTATGGAGAGAGATAGAGATAGAGAGATGCAAGTGCCTCCTCTTCACTGGAATACTGGATTTTATATCGTTTTCCCAAACAATTATATAAATACATTATGTATTTATTTATGTTGCTCATTTATATACTTCACATAAAGCCAGCCCTTAGCAACTATTTCAATAAATAACAATCAGAACTCTGAAGAGAAACTCTGAGACAAAAAGAACAGCATCATAAAACAAGACAAAATCATAAAATATACAATATCACAGCATCAAACAATAAATAATCAAAGAACCACCCAGAACACATGGCATCAACACTAGAAATCTGGCAGCAGATTAAATCATTGCTTCTATGTTAAAAAGCTATGAAACAAAATGGATTTTTGGACTCTTCTTAAAACACACAATGAAAAAAGGAACTGAACTGTTTCAAGGAGGGAAAAGGCATTAGTAATACAGTAGCTGTTTCTAGGCAAGTTTCCTTCCTGGTACACAAAATTGCTTCCTTCCTTCCCTCGTCCCTCCCTCCGTTTGTATGACTGTCCATCTCAATAAGTGTCTCTGACCAGTGAATAAAATTAAAATAAATTCTGTAATTCAACTATATAGACAGATATAGACAGGCTTGGGAGTCAGCAGTCAATTCTAGTCAGCCCACAAGGCATTATCCAAAGGTTCAGTGCACCATCAAACAGATTTTGGAATTCTACCAGATTCAGATGATGTAGGAATAGGCCTTCAAAACTGGCCACTGCCACTATAAGGAAGGGATGAAACCAAACACTGCAAAGGCCAGATGGTGAGATATCCATGACAAAGGAATCACTTCTGTCTCCCCACAACCAAAGATCATCATTATCATTGCCAAAGACCTGGTCTACAGGATAGCCCACTGGATAAGTGAGGGTAAATGTCTGAGACAGGTCCAAGGTGTTGTGGTTGTCATGCATTCCTGACCAGTTCTGAAAGATTGTATTGTCTTTCAGATCAGATCAGGAACTAAGACTGCATGAATAAAATAGATTGTAAACTAAAACTTTCAAGACTCACAATACAACCTCCAATATCATTCCAGACAGAGAAAAACTGTTTGGTAGTCGCTCATGGTACACCAGCTCATAGAACACCAGCAGAATTCCCAGCTTATCTTGCTTTCTCAGCTCTAGTCAAGCACACACTAAATTCTTGGCCTTTCACATTTTGGACCAGGAAAGGAGACCTAGGTTATATCACCCATATTTCAGATCTCTATTACACAAACCACTCTACCTTACTACTGGGAATCAAATCACCCAGAAGATGGTTCTTAGTAATTACCCAGAATTCAACAGGAGAAAAGAGAAAACGCAAGAGTGTTTCCATTAAGTTGGAAACAAAGCACCATAGAGGGATAGGCAAACTCTCTGACCCTTAATTTCGGATGCTGTTGCCCCTCCCATATAAAGCAAACAGGAAATAGGACTAGATGATCTAATTCTACTTTATTGCAAGGCTACATTAATAGAATCTTGCCAAACTGGAAGTACAAACTTCCTGCCCACCAATTTTAACTGCCTGGTCCATTAAGGGCAGGTCTTTTATCAGTTTCTTTCTGTGACTATTAAGTGATTGCAGAATCCTGCCCCTCTTATCTTATTATTTTCTAGGCAGCATCTCTCCTTCTCTTTCCTCAAGATCATTAATATATTCCATTACATATATTTGTCCCATTATGATACCCCCTCCCTAGCTCAGTACTTCCTAATAGCCTATCCCTCCTTCAGAATGTACCTTCCATGCAATCAAAGAAACTATTGCCCTGAATATACTACCCTCTTTCACCTATAGCAGGGGTGTCAAACTCGTGGCATCATGTTGATGTCACGTAAAGTATTGCGACTCCCCCCCCTTCATTAAACCAGGGGTGGGCATGGCCAGCACATGATGCATCGAGCCCATGGGCTGCGAGTTTGACACCCTTGACCTATAGCCTTCATAGCCAGCAGAGCAAATCCCAACAATGTCACATTCTAATTAGTATGTTAAATGCCTCCCAAAATTACAGTGAATAATAATTCCTCTAACATTAATTCATCAAGCTCTTTCCTCTTCTTTTTTTTTTTTTCTTCCTCACTTACTCCTCCATGTCCATCTGGCCACCAACTTCAGGTTTTCTAGGAAAATTTCAAAAAGATATTATGATTCATTACAGCATAGCCTGGCTAAGGCTCCTGGCAAAATCCTAAACAGTGCTGTCACTCAGATGCCATTTTTATTGTTTTTATTATTTTACTGTTTTTATTTTTTAAAGAAACGTTAAATATTTATAATCTACCCAAAAACTTCGCTTAATGATCAGATTGGATTTATCATAACCATAATCTAATAAAGCTTTCAGTTTACCCTATAATGATTATGTGGCTACAAGGCAACATAGTATATGATATTCTTTATTTATAATGCTTTGTCCAAATATTGCATTTATTACTCATGTAATTCCTTCGTGTAGACATGATAAAGTGAGAAATGCTTTTCATACTCTGTAGTAAAAATGGTATAGTATGATATTTTAGGAGCTCTGTGTATGTGGACACATGCATGTGCTTGTGTACACACACCTTCAAATCAGGTTGTCCTTGCCTCCTTCCTAGGGCTGAGAGAGAGTAACTGGCCCAAGGTTGCCCAACTGACTTCATGTCTAAGGCAGGATTACAACCCACAATCTCTAACCACTACTTCAAACTGGCACTCAGCCATGGAAACATAGTGTGACAATGGGTCAATTACACTCTTAGACCAACCTACTTCACAGAGTTGTCTCTGCTAGTGTAAAGTAAAGGATGATTCCAATGTATATTGTCTTGAGCTCTTGGAGATATCTAACACAAAATAAATAGAACCTGTAGCCAGTCAATGAAGCTGAATGTGGGGAATTCATGAAAAACCAAAGGAATTATTCCTTCATGCAGTAGAACTATATATAGGAACAACAGTACTGACACTCCAAGATATATTGATGGTTACTACCTTAGATATTTTTTGAATGAGATTGATTCCAGTAGTCAAATGTCTGAGGACACTGCTGTTCTCTTTCATAACCTTCTTGTGAACTTCCCAAGAGGCATTTGTTGCCCACTGAGGAAAAGTGAGGCTGAATTAAAAAGAACTTTGCTTTGATTCAGCATGGCTCTACTTATGTTAACTAACATGGTTACGATCCCTACAAAATGTTAACAAGACTGAATCTTCCTTCAACCCAAGTTTTCTAGTAAATCTGCAGTACTATTTTAATTTGCAGCAACTGCTCACATGTAAAATTCCTTTTACATAAAATTCCTGTTACATAAAAATAAATAAACATAAGATGTAAATAAAGAAATGTATAAATAACAGGAGCGGGCATTGGGAATAACTGGGATCCAATTCATAGAGTATTCTTTAATACTAGAATTAGTTTTTTTTAAAAAAAAAAACTTTAACTGATAAGCAATTTTCTGTCAGAACCAAGCATGAAACCTGCTTTATAAGCACTTAATTCATCTGAAATTCTCTCATTATAATCTGACCTCTTAATGTATGACATGGTTTGTACTTTTAAAAAAATCAAGTAGGTTCTGCACCTTATTAAAGATTGAGTAGCACTGTTTCATCTTACAACTCAAAACAATCTCAAGGCTTCACTGGCTCAGACTTCCAATTCGGCCCACAAATCTCACAGTCAGTCTAATGATGCAGCCAATGAAATTCCACTGTATACTCCTACATCTGTTTCCTAGGTAACCATCACAGAGCAATATAAACTGGAGAAGCACAGCAGAAGGAAAGGCACAATGCAGCACCAATCCTAGCCTGTGCCATCTCTACCTTTGAGCACTCTGGCACACTTCTTTTCCAGCTGATTCATGCAGAGAAAGTTATTCACAAACTTAAGAAATTGCTCTCCTCTTTTTTTCCCCCTTTTAAAGGGAGGAATATATACATATATGTATATACATATATATACAAAATATACATTTCCTTTCTTTCTTTTTCTGAAGTGAAATAATCGCAGGGATGTCCTAAATGTTTGGTTGGAAAAGGATGGATAGGCACATTGTTCAATACTCATAAAAATAAGAACGATGTGTATAAGCATGAAAGCATGTGGGTCTGGTGCCCTGCTACTAACCTGCTCAGCAGAAACTGGGGTCAGTTGTCACAAAACGTCTTGCGCTGACCAACCAAAGCCTGAATGTTTTCCTGAATGAAAAATTGCATCTGCATATTTCATGCATGCAACCTCCTGAGAACTATTGTAGCTGAGTAGCTACAAGGCTGAACAATAATCTAAATCTTTCCTCTGCCTTAAACAGGTTCTTAAACCTCAACTTTATGACTTTATGACGGAGGCAGGATGAGGGTGTTAACAAAATTGACTTGCCTTACAGGACATTTTTAAGGCAGTGACTAAGACACTCCTGATCTATGGAACATTTTTGCTCTGGATGCGGTGGTCTCTTATGGAATCAGACAGTTCTGATTGCTCCCTTCCTAGCAATGAGGACCACTCAAGATCCTTCTTGTTCCTACCCACATATTTACTGGAATGTATTCCCCACGTATTTGCTGTTAGATGGAATTTATTTCCTATATTTACTATTGGGGAATAATTATCTATATTATATTTAATCAATTTAACATAGTGCTAGTAAGGCTTATGTCTCCAAATCCTAGTTCATTAAACTGGAAAGGCCATGTTTTCTGAATTATACTAAGAGAATAGGCACAGGCAAAAATACACACACATATATGAATTGGGAAGAACTATAACAAGTACAGTTTCTCTCTTAATATTAGAGTTTACAATACTATTGTAAAGTTTTCTTGGAGTCCAGATGCAGTGTGATATTTGATGAGCTGCCTCTTGTTTTCCCAGTGGAAAAACACTGTCATGGTCTGTTGTACAGGAATATTATTGCTTAGTGTTTTTGTTCTTTGTGAAAAAAGAGAGAGAAAATAGCAGTTTAGAAGGTGAGAAGGGAAATCCCTTTTGTAGTTACTATGCCAGAGTGTATATCTGATGTTCCAAATTCATTTTGATTGATTCAGACTAATTTGTTTTCCATGCCTGTGCATAATCCAATCAGTCTGAATCTAATTGGACTCAGAATTAGATCAATATTCCCAATTGATCTGAATGTTCAAATTGAATTGGGTCCAATTCAACACACCACTACAAGATATTCAGTACATCAGTATATCACCTAAACACTGACCAGATTGCTTTTTAATTCTCAGGGAATCTTAATGAGCCTCTAAGCTCAGGAACTTATTGTGCATGAAATGTCTCATTGGTTTCATACGGTTATATATTAGAAATGATAAGAAATTTGGTTAAATGCTAACATGTTCTTTTATCAGGTCAATGTTCTCAAGTGAAACAGAGATAATCATGTAGAAATTGCCATGTTTTATCAGCTCTGTGATTTCTTTAACCCAGGTTTTATTTAGTCTCTGACAGTAGCCAGTATAGAGCCACATCATCAAAGTTTCAGTAAAAACAAAAACAAAAAAACAGCCAGGCGATAGTTCTAAAGCGTTTAGCAGTGCAATGTTTCTATCATATTCTCTACCTATCATATCTACAATATCACAATATGATGTTTCTTCATATTCTCAGAGGCTGGGAATAAAAATAAGCAATATCTGCTGTTCTTCTAGTTCTTCAATTCAATATTTCTAACAATTAGAGAAGAGTTCTGTAGTGCATCTTCAGTCCAACACAAATGAGTTCTTATCTGTTTTCCTATCAAGCCCCATCTTGTATAAATTTGGGTGCATATATGCAACATGTATAAACCTCCCCAAAGGGAAAAAAATATATAAAGTAATAGAAAAAAGTTCAACAAAGGAGAAGGGAGTGAAGGAATGTAACAAATTGAGTTCAGTCAATGGTTCAGAATTACTAATGTGTATCTCTTGCAATGTGCCATCAGAGATGGTAGGTTTTGCTGTAATATGACCCTGGAAACAATGTACAATAATTTTAAAACCAGTAAGCAAAGGGATCATCTTTGAACAACATTAACAATCCCACTCCATAAAATATCTGAATTGCCAGTTGAAAACACAATGATCAAACGATGCTAAAAAAACCCAACCATTTATTAACAAAAGGACGGTGGCAGAAACCTAAATACTTAAAATCATTTATTTACAGATATGATATCTATCTCACAGAATATAGAAAGTTGAAAACACAATCTGGAATTTGTGACTAGCTAGAGCAAGAGCAATTTATTTGCTTAATATAGTTCTGTAGCTTCATTGACATTTTAGAACACTGTTGGTGGCAAGAATAAGATGCATTAGCAATAGGATCTTCAGACACACCAAGGCAAAAGAATAACACACTTTGCCCACAGGTATAAAAACACAGAATCAACATTGGAGGCATTGTCAATTAATCCCCAAAGCCAAGTACATTCCTGACTCCAGTCTACCTTCATATCACTCTTAAACACAGGGAGAAAAATCAACTCCGTGGAAGGTTTTCAATCTCCTTCACGTTCTGCCACCTGGTGGGACATTTCCTCAAACTTTTATGAGCCGCTGGTGCAGCGTTAATTTGACATCCCTCTCTGCAGATCACACCAACCCTCTCTCTCTCTCTCTCTCTCTCCCCCTAACTCCAAGAACTATTCATCAGCAAGTAGGAAATCTTATAAGGACCATTATAGTGACATTTCACAAGAACCTTATTTAAGCCACTGCAGAAACCCATCCCTGGCAACCCAGACTGGCCAGACTGACCAAAAAAAAAAAAAAAAAAAAACCCAACGCTTTGGGCTTTTCTCTTTCATTTGTCCCCAATTCACTTGCCAAATCGGAACAGTTCCATTCCCATTCTCTTGACAAGAGGGCAAACCTCTGTTAAATCCCAAAGGGCCCCTCCGTTCACTCAAAGAACCAAAGGAAGGCACATTTCGGTAGTCGTTGTTGTTGTGTTTTGTTTTGTTTTGGTTTTTTTTTTTTTTTTTTTTAAGGTGACTTCTCTTGCTCACTTAACCTCAAGCCCTGCTGTCTTACGTCCCCTGGAAATAAATCCATCAATATCCAGCAACCTCAACACCAGCCTCCAAAGGCTGCCTGCATTTTTAAAAAAAAAAAAAAAAAAAAAGCGTGCCCCAGGCCCAAGCCCAACAGACCAATGCAGGCGTCCTCTTTCCTCCCACCCACTCGCCGCCCTTCTTCTCGGCATCCTCACCCCCCCCCTCACCTTCCAAACACACACATACACACCTCCCCGCCCCGCTCAGCTTCAAAGCACTTTCACGCATGCCCTCCAGCGATAGGATTTGCCCCGGAGGGGCTCCGCCGAGCCCCCCCCCCCGCCTTACCTTCTTCCTGCATCCTCTGCAGACACAGGGTTAGATTCTTCCTCCAGCCCGGCATCCCGGCAGAGGGTCAAACCCGCCAAACGGCGTGGAGAAGGCTCGGAGGGCTCTACCTCCCGGGGAAAAGGCTTGAGCACCACCACCCCACCCTCCCCGCTCCCCCCACCCTCCCCCTCGCCAGGCCAGAAGTGCAGGGGGCAGACGGAGCAGCTAAGGAAGCGAGGTGTCTCCGGAGCGAGTCGGCTTAAGCATTGGCGGCCGCCGCGTGCTCCATCTGTGTTTTGGACCGGTAGGAAAGCCAGGAGTGGAGGTGCGGGGAGGCGGGAGGAGGAGGGCAAGCGGAGGGGGCTGGCCGAGGTGGCGAGGAGGAAGGCGCGAAGCCGGCAGACCGAGCTCGCTGCCGCGCCAGACGGCAGGATCTCCCCGGTTTTGTTGCGCGAAGTCTCTCTTTCGCCTGCCCTGGAGGGGCAGGGAGGATAGGCTAGAATAGATAAGACGGCCACGGGAGCTGCGGTTGGCCGCGGGGCGCCGGAGGGGAGGGATCGTACTAAGTAGCCGCAGGAGCCAGGGGAGCTGCGAGAAGGGACGGGGAGCCTTGGCTTGGTTCTCCTTCCAAAGACCAGCCTTCCTCCCACGGAGTGGGCTTCCGACGCGCGGCCAACCCGGGTTGGGGGTGAGTGGCGGGAGGCTCTCGGAGCTCGG